GAAAGGACTTGTATCGCTGAAGTTTCTCGGAAAAGAATTCTACAGGAAATTAACAAACAAGCAGATACGTAACAAGGGCTAAGTTATCATTAAATTAAAAAATAATAGAAAATAAACTTGTAGTCATTCTTTCATATATTTAAAAAATAAGAACAGTGGAGAGTTAAAATTTATTCAATAAAGAAATTTTATTTATTTAAATTTTACATAAAAATGTTTACAAATCACAGATTTATATTTTGGGTTGATGTCAGTGGGTTTCAAACAAAACCATTAATGTTTATTTCCTGAATTTTTTCTGAGCATAATATAGCACTCATTCAACCTCTGGAAGAAATTCATATTAATTTTGAACAAAATAATACTAATTTGACCCTGTATCTTAAATACAAAGTGTTGTTTTACTGATTTTTGGACAAACACAGTTTTTCAATCTTGGTTGCCATGGTGTGATGTAATTGCCTATATCTCAACTTCAAGAAGTCTTAAGCTAATGCTCTACACATGTAAAGAAAGTTCTTTTTTTTTGTCTATTTTTCAACTGTATAAGTCATTATGGCTATTTCAGTAGAGATTAGATCAAAGTGATAAAAGCTTAGCTTAGCTATCTTGCTAGGAGAAAAGCTATTTGTGAACAACTTCTAACATAATAATCCAGATTTTTTTTAAAGCCTGATTTCTCATTTTATACTTTATTGGAGTTATGCAAAAAATGAAATGCTTTCGTGGAACAAGATGAAATAGGCTTAGTTAAACTATTTTGTATGTGACCATATCAAGTTTTGTCTCAATGATATAGCCAATATGTTTGGTCTTATTTTCATTATGCCTTATTGGTTTAAGTAACTGCTTGAATGGGTGAAGAAAATCAACAAAATCATAAAAAATATATATATATAAATGAGAATAAAAATGGTTTAAAATTTATTATATACATTAAACAATACCATCTGATTAACAATTATTAAACAAAGATATTTTGGCATGGTAAATATATTATTTGTATTGTAATTGCAGTAATTGCAAACATGGGAAGTCTGCTTGTGTTCTTTTTCAAATCAAAAACAGATAAAATTTACTATTTTATAAAATAAGAACTTTATAGGAAAGTTAAACGAATGTAGGGAGACATAAAAAATCAGGAATTAAAGTATGCAGCAAAGGTTAGAAATTTTAATTGTTTCATTCAAAAACTATCACAATAAAACCTTTTCAAAATTTCAAAAGCTGCAGTTTCATACAAATACCACCTATAAAAAAAAGAAAGATATTTCATTTGCAGAAGCAACATAATCTGTAAAAATGTTTCTAAAGTTTTTACCTATTTCAACTAATGTTTTTTTAGAATGCAATAAAAGAAAAGCTTTGAACTGAAGCATCCAGGCCTGTTAAGAGTTAAAAAAGGTACCCAACCTTATATGTTTGATTTTACTTATACTTTCAGAAATTGACATTAAAATATCAAAGATATTCTTAGAGAAGTTTAGTTTGCCTATTCTGGGATTTCTTATTTATTTTTGCATGCTGCTGAAAAAAACCTAAAAAAAAAACACATTGGGGAGAAGAGGTTCTAACCTATATCTACATCACTATAAAATAAATAAGATGGTTTTAGAAGAATTTTGTAGCTTGCCTACATACTGGCTACCCAGAGCCCCAGTAGGGATGAATAAAGTATTCTAATACAAAGTTTACAATACTTGGCAGTAAAACAGAAAAATGTTTGTTTTATAGTTTCTTTTCTAGTTCGTTTCAATGTTCATGCATTTAATTATACCTGTTTGAAAGCTACAAGAATATTCTTCTAAGAGAAGACATCAGGTAAGTTTATGTTTAGCAAGTACATAAGCAGTGGCAAACCATAAACATGATTTAATTTTTTTTCATATTGTTCTCAAGTTTATTGCATTCAAACAACACAAACAAAACAACTTATTATTTGCTGGAAAAAAACTACATTTATTAGATGTAAATTGATCCCAACCAAGAATATTGTTAACAAAAATCTTTATACCTGGCCTGACAAATGTAACAATGATGTTATTTTGAAAGGTGAGGTCATAGATCAGTTTTTTATGGGTTTTTTTTTACAATTTATTGCTGGAAGTGATAGTTTCAATTAATGTATCAAAGAAAAATATGTTAATGAATATCATGTTAAAACTGATTGGATATAAAAAAATTAAATTCTAAGATGAAAGGAAGTATTTTAAAGTATTTTCCAAACAGTGTCTAAAAGCAAAACTTTGAAAACTCCACAACCTAAACAAAAGATGAAATTACTAAATTAAATTATATTAATTTTTTAATCAGAAACTATATACTGTTTAGAAAATTTGTGGATTTCATGCAATTTGGTTACGTCCAGAACTTGTATCACAGATCTGGCCAGTTTGCCTCTTCATCCACATATATTCCTGTTAATTGCTCAGAATTCCTCAACCCAACTAATTATTAACCCTAACTAATTATTACTCAATCCATTTTTATCATTAAAATGAGTTAAGTAATATTTGAAGCTGTTTAACAAGTAACTCCTAACTTACTCTAAAATGCACTACAAGAAAAGCACTTTCCTTATTTCCTGTCATAAAACTATTTAACCTCCTCAAAATGGCCTGAATCATATACCTCGCTAAGCAAATTCTTATTGTGCTGTTGTATGTGCTCTACCACATACTCATCCTTCAGTATATTTAATTAGGTAACCCTTCACTTGAAATGCCTAAAAAAAACTCCAAATTCATTAATAGTTATTATTTTAAATCTATTTGATGCAGTTAGCTGTACCATTTGATGTAACCAGTTTCATAAGCCTATACCTTCTACAGTTCTTCTACACAGTAAACCCACAATTTCTTACCTTAACTGTGTAACAGTAAATTCATCACAACCTGCTTCCTTCACTCTAAATTTACTACAGCAACTCTGCTGAAGGCAAAATTGAATTTTTACTCTTAATACCCATGGTCTACAAGCTACACCGTTAAATTTTAAAGCTTTCAAATAACTGATTTTTGGCAAATAATTCCCAAACAAGATGTATAATGTTCAGAAGATGACAACTGATTAAGACATTATGAAGATGTCCTGTAGATAACCAGAATAAAACAAAGCCAACAAATCTATTAGAAAAGCACATACAATATATTACTTGGAAAATAGTAGGTTTAATTATCATATATTCTGCCTCAAAAGTATACCAAAATACTTGGTTGACATAACACAGAAATTATTTTGATTGACAAATTTGCATTTTTTTTGATGGGTCAAAAAATATCAAAATACAAGTTACCTTGTTAACTCTGAAAGCACACACTTTTCCCCCAACTTCTGAACACATTGTCAGAGAGCTCCACAACTTTACCAAATCTCTAGAAGGAAAAAGTTAATATACAGAACTAAAAAAAAGAAAGCTTTGAGAATTCTGTAATTCATTAACTAGGACAATATGTAAACCTTAAAGACACTAACAAAAATCCCCGTAATTCATTAACTCTGAAAATATGTAAGCCTTAAAGACACTAATAGAATTCATTAACTTGGATAATATTTCAACCTTAATCACTCCACTTCAATCATAAACTTTCTCAAAAAATAATCTACTGATGTTAAGATTCTTTAAATAAAAACAAACTGGATCTAAACTGTCTTTAAAATGCATGTAGTAGTTAATATTTTTTTCTGCATATTCATCTGCCATTATCAACCTGTTGAAATTATTCTTTTAGCATTTTCACTCAATTTCTACTAAATGTAGACATAGATAAATGTCCAATAGCTAGTTGTGCTCAACATAACAAGTTGACAGTATCAATGCAATACCTGTTTTTGTATTTTAATGGTGGGACAAGAGGACAGAAATTTTGACAGGGTAGGAGTCACCTTCAGCTTAGACAGTTTTACTTTTATAATAGGGTGGTTGGCCTGTGGAATGGACTGCTTTCAGATGTAGTAAAAGGGAAGGCTTGATAAATAGTTAAATGATCTGGGCTGGATGAGTTTTTGTTTTAAGTGAATGGGACAGCCTCAATGGGCTAACAGAGTCCTTTTTTGCCCCTTACATGTTATATTGATAATTATCTGTAAGTGAAACATGGTGACTAAGACATTTATAATAGCTTCAACTAGCTCAGTAAAAACACATCAAGTCAGACTGGGAACTACTTATTAAGACATAAAGACAAGTTACACACTGGGTAAGTGACATCCACATGTTAAATGGCAAATCCAACAAGTACTGGTAGTTTATGTTATTGCCTGTCTAAGTGGTACTAATAACAAAACTACTTAAGCATAACTTTTTCTCGTTTTCTAACTTGGCAATGAAGCATTTATAAGCCACAGCTCAGCATACATTGGGTCACATGTTTACATTAATTAACATCACAAACAAATCATCAATAAAAACCTATGTTCAATAACACGTGACGGTTGCACTACACCATACACTATAGTTTAAGCTTAGCCAAAATGATTGCACACAACATAAGAGGAAACTTGCAAATTACCTTGTGGGTGTGTAATGTAACAAAAGTACAATGATAAGATATGTAATGATTATGTACCAACATACTGTTGCATCTGAAGGAAGAATTAATGGTAAACTTAATTCCTAATGTTATACTAATCTTAACAAATAATCTTGGACATTAGCCTGACTACAAACAAACAAGCTGTAAAATATCAAGTAATATCGTAACAAATTTCATAATTTTACTTACCGTTCATAAAACCTGAGGATTGCTCTCCGATTTTTCTCTCTGTATTTCACTACATCAAACACTATTGATGCACCAACCTATTAAAATCCCCAGAAAATAAACAGTATGCAAGATAAACTAAGACAATTTTCAAACTAAATAGAAATGCTTGAAGTAAGATAAAAAGTTAGATTATTTCTCATATTTGTGGTTACAAATCGCCAAGTCTCACTCATCAGGTTATCGTTACTAATGGAATTTCTTAATGATCAATTTTAATGTTTTTAATGTTAATTACCTATATATGACTATACAATTTGTTTGTGATACTAAAAAGTAAGGATAGACAATGAGAGTTAGAACTTGGATAAGAACTTTATTGCTCAATAATAAGAATTACAGATGGAAAATATAACCAATTATCTATGAGCATCAATTAGTTTCCCACAAAATACTCAATTTATCAAAATATCATGATTAAATCAATTAATGTCATGAATATAATCAGCTAATGGAAATTAGTGTTTTTGGTTATTCAAGTAATTAAAATATTGCCATTATGTTTCCCCATCATTATTTTAAATTAATTCGAGGTTGTTCAGCTTAATCAATTAGTGCCACAACTCACAAAAAATAAACTGATCAAAAGTTTTGTTTCCAATTATTATTAATTTTTATTATTCCACTTATCCAAGTTTCATGTGAGAATAATTAATTAGTTGGATGTAATCGATTAATGAACATAACAAATAATCAGTTATAAAAATCCAATAGTACCCCAGCTCTAGTAGGAATAAGTAGCAACATTAAAGAATAAACAGTGTTATTACAGACAAGATAACTAAAATGTACGTGTAATAGTAAAAAAAGAAAAAGTATGGTGCCTAAAACTATTTATATAACCTTTCAAAGCTAATAAAGTTTTTAAATTTTATACAATTCTACCTAAGTCACAGTTAAAAATTGGTACATACTTTTTGTTTTTTTACTCTGGTAAGAATGAAGGCTAGTAAAATAATTTATTATTTGAATTAGTTGAGCTAGATGTATAATTATATCTGTACAAAAAAAAAATCTAAACTTAACTCAACATTACTTGATAAAATGGAAGATATCTGCAGTTATTATTTAAGATATATTTGAAAAAAGTAGAGCTTGTTTTCCAGAATACAGTATTGGTATTAAAGATGATAATATTAAAATCAAATGCAGTTAATTTTCAAAGCTTTAAAATGAGATATATTTTCAACAACAACAACAACAAAAATTCACTTAAGTTATTAATATCAAATACTTTGCCTAAAAAGAAAAGGAATGTACACTAATTAACCTGTAAACAGATATTGATGGTCAGAGTATAAATTTAAGGTGCAAGACATTACAATTCTTCGATATATACATCACAGTACATGAAAGATAGGTAATTCTCAAGTGTGCTCCACAAATTGGTCCAAAGTGGAATAGCAGCACCATTCTTACCATTAATTCTGATGAGTTTTTTTGGTGGGAGGGGGTAGGACTGGTAGGTGGTCTGTGGTGTCTTTTGCCCCACCAAAGTGATCCACAGATAAAAAAAAGTTTGAGAACCAATGTGATAGATAGCTATACTGCTGTATATTAATAAAGTGGAGTTTGCAATATATAAATATACCTTAAAATGTTCATGTATCAGCATTTATTATGGCTGAGAATGTCACCTAATATGCCTACTAGTGTGTTTACAAACACTATATAAAGCATTGTATTGTAAAAACAATTTTTTGTCATTTCCTAAGCTTTTAGAACAATGTGATCTGTCAAAAATGCCTACCATTAGTCTTTAAGTTTGAAATGTAAAAAAAAGGAAAGTTTTTACATGTAGATATCAAATATTCTGTGATCAAGACACACAATAGTGTGTTGTACAGCCAAAACAACCTGCATGACAAAATTATGTTATTAACAGGCGTGATAGTTTACCAATTTTCCACTTTCTGTAGCTCAGACTGTGGTAATCCAAACTATCCCATATTTTCAGTGGAAGTGCTCTCGTGGACCCTTATTTCACATATCAGATTTCAAAGCAATCTAATAAAATACACACAATATATAAAATCTCCAATTTTGATTGAAATTCCTCCTAGTTATTTTATTCTTTGTAGTGGTCACACCTAAAAGTTATATGATAAAAAACATACATTGATGAATTTCCTTCAAACTTAGTACGCTGATAAATGTTTATAACCTACAATTAGGTTCAAATCTGGTCTGAATATTAGCCACACGTGCAAAAACAACTCAATTTTAACCCAAATTTTTATGCATGCCCATACAAAGTCACGTGAGCTATCAGCCTGAAATTTTTACCACAGTTTAATCTAAGGAAAAACTACTAATATCTATTTTAAAGAATCTGGTTGGTTCTATAAAGTATAGGTCTGTTCCAAATAATAGGGTTGTGAGCCTAAGGCTAAATATTGGTTACTACTGAGTGTCACTTTTTTACTTGCTGTGGTTTGTTGGTGCATATTGACCAAAAGTCATGATATTTAATCAAAAACACCTTAGGTGTGAAAAAAAGGTGTGACCGAAAAAGAATTGAGCATGTGACTTAAAAGAAGGAAATCAAAATTGGTGGCCAAACTGGTAGCTAAACTTATAGCATTGATAAGACTTTTACAACAAATATTCATTCATCAGTTAACAAAGCTGAATTTTTGGGTAAAACAAAATACACTCCTAGCTAAATAATGAATAAATATTTACTGTAAAATTCTTATCAATGCCGCAAGTGTAACTACCAGTTTGGCCACCAATTTTGATTTCATTCCTTTAAGTTGTACGTTCAATCCTTTTTTTGGCTGTACCTTTTTTCACACCTTAGGTGTTTTTGATTCATGTTAAAATATACAGTTTACCATAATTTACTCTTAAGTTCAAATAAACATACATGGATAATGTTCAATCAAGCTACTAATTCTCATTCAGCTATATAAGCAACAACAGTGTGTCTATTCTTCAAGAAAAGTTTACATTTTATATCTCACCTCTCCGAATAAAAGTTTCAAGGAATTTTCAATAATGTTTACGAACATGCTGGAATCCACAGGTATTCCCCTGTATCCAAGCTCTTCTCCAAAATCTCTATTCCCATAGAAAAAAATATATACAGAAACATATAGATATTATATATACTTTTACATCTACATTTCTTTATGAAAAAAATGTAAGTAGGTTATTAAAGCTAGCAAATACTTATATTGTCATGTTAATGTATAATGTATTTTGACAGATTTTTCATGATGGTTATTACATATGAATGATGAAAATAATTAGCAAAGGTATAGAATCTTACCTCAAACTAAACTTTCAGTTTCATTATCAGTTGGACTTTACTTACTAAACCACCAGCAGAAATCACAGGCAAAGGTATCTGCAACTGAGCTGGTCTGACCAACAGGCTTTCTTCTTTTTACAAATCATGTTCATCTTTGGCTTATTTGTTTGTTTAACTTTGCACAAAGCTAATGAGGGCTATCTGCAGTCACCAACTGTTAACACTACTCACTGCCAGCATTTGGGACACTCAACTTATCACACTGTCACCTTCATAGTGCACTCACAGATCCAAAATGCAGAGTGAGATTTATTTATTTTTTTGGCAATGGTAGGATATGAACAAACTGAATCTGAGCTCCACAATCTGCCACACTAACCACTGAGCTATGCTTGCCTCTTGTTCTCTTAAGATCTTATAAAAATCACATGAAGAATGTACAATATTAGTACAAAGTATTAGCTTCTTAATAATTCTGAAAGAGAACTATTAAGACTAGTGTAGATTTTCATATTCTTATACCTATCCATGACAACATCATCAGATAAGCTATTTCAGTAATGTGAAACAATAAAGTGAAGCAGATATGGTTACAACTAAGTCAAGCTCAATATTCATTCTAAATCAGCCTTGCTTTTTTAAATCTGAATCACGTAAAATATTTTGTTTACAAAACAGCTCCAGTCTTACTTTTGAGTTATGAGCAACTCTAAATTTAGCTATTAATCTACTGCACACCCATAGCATTCAAGTTTCTGTTTCTAATTTTTTCATTTCATCGCTCTAATTAAATAAATTTTACACAGACAGTATATTAAGGCCTAAATATCCAATACTTTTAAATCCTCACATCAAGTATCCTCTAGTCCCTTGTTTGTTTATGCTATACTCTTGTACATAACATTCCTCGGTACAGTATAAATTAAATAAAAGTCTTACTTTGATTTTTATAACAAGGTAATAATTTTATTTTTACTTTTGAGCACATTTGTCGTATATTAAAACTTACACCATCTACCTATTTATACAAAGTGAAAATGGTACGCATACATTGTACGAAATTATAGAACTAGAAGAACATGATTCAGGTAATTCATGATTGACTATAGTAAAAAGGAAGGCATATGCCATAATTAAATTAAGTTAGAAGTACTGTATGTACAAAACAGTGAGTAACGTAAATTGTAATAAATACTGGGAATACAAGATTAGATCACAAAAAATTATTAAGGCAGTACAAGTTTCTATTTTCGCATAACTTACAAGGTAACATCCATGTAATTGTATTCGTTTATAACTTTTCTTTTTGACCTTTTGTATTCAAGAGTTAAGGTTCTTATATTTAATTTTCTTTGTTTACAAACTTTTCCACGTCTCCTAGACATACTGTTTCCATCTATATGATGAATATGACTGCCAGTGCTTTTGAAAAACCCACTAGAGGACGCAAGACATAGATAGCGCTGTTGTTAGCAGACAGTGTATTTTGTTATTTTTTTGAAAAAATAAGTGTTAATGTTCTATTTATTAGGTCGTCAAGAAACTAATGTCATTTTTTTAGACGAAAAACCTCAAACACCATATATATATCTAAACAAAACATTTATTAAATGAAATAGTCTCCATTCTTATCGATGATGCTTTTCCATCTAACAATCAGGTCGTTAATGCCATGATTACAGAAATCACTTGGCTTTGAAGCAAACATGTCGATGTCCTCTATAACACCTTCCACATTTGCATACGTTTTCCCATTAAGATGGTGTTGCAGCAAACAAAGAAGATGGTAATCTGATGGTGCCATATCTGGAAAATATGGTGGGTGGGGGAGAACTTCCCAACCCAACTCCATAATCTTGTGTTGCGTCAAACGTGCCACATGTGGACGTGCATTGTCGTGGAGAAGAACACCTTTCCGATTGACGAGTGAAAGGCGTTCCTGATGATGGGTTTGATTTAAACGTTCTAGTTGCTGACTATAAATCTCTGCAATGACAGTTCGCTGTGGATTAAGGAGTTCGAAATGAATTACTCCTTTGATGTTCCAACGAATGCAAAGCATCACTTTCTGTGGACGGAGTCCAAGTTTTTGGGTCGGAAGTGGTTCTTGTCTAGGACTAAGCCATTGTTTTTGTCAAGAATTGATGACACTCTTGATGCCCTGAGTGGAGCCAGGTGGTTTTCAACTCTGGACTTAAAGTCGGGTTTCCATCAAGTGAAAATGGCTGAAGCAGATAAATCTAAGACTGCATTTAGTTGTGTCCAATGTCCCTGGCAATACCGTGTGATGCCATTCGGGTTTAGCAATGCTCCAGTGACATTTGAGAGGCTGATGGAAAGGGTACTGGAAGGCCTACAATGGAGAATAGCCCTAGTGTACCTAGATTATGTCATTGTATTTGCAACAACTTTTGATGAGGAACTGTCCCAGCTAGAGGAAGTATTCAAGCGTTTGAAAGCAGAAGACCTCAAACTCCATCCCAAGAAATGCCACTTGTTCCAGAAAGAAGTGGTTTACTTAGGTCACATTGTAAATGAGCATGGTGTGCGAACTGATCCTGACAAGGTGAAAACAGTGCATGATTGACCAACACCAGACAATGTGCGAGAGTTAAGAAGTTTCTTGGGACTCTGTACCTATTACCGTATTGTTACAACAGAGGGGGTCACGTGATTCTAGGTAACACGTCATATTCT